CTGAGTGTTATGACAATTTATAATGACCCCATACCTAGTATCATGGTAAATGGTGAAAAGCTGAAAGTATTGCCTGTGATATCACATTCACCCAAAACATGTCCACTTTATAAAAAACAATATTGAAGCGCTTGCTATTGCAATCAGTCGAGAAAAAGAAATCAAAGGGACACAAGTTGGGAAAAGAAAAAGCCAAATTATCACTATCTGCAGATTACATGATATTATGCAGAGAAGGCACTTAAACAACCCCCTCCTAAAAGGTCCTAGAAACAATGAACAACCAATCAAATTAGTTGCATTCTTATATGCAAATAATAGATCAGAGGGAAATGCAGTTAAACAATCTGTTCAATTCAACATAGTTTCCTAACCCATCAGTTTCTAGGAATCAACAATAGAGGTGGGCATCTGCATCACGAAAACATTAAATCACCTAAGAAATTGATAGAAGACCTAATAAATGATAAAAATATTCCATGTTCACGTAGGGGAGGAATCAATATTGTCCAAATGAGCATTGTACCTAAATTTTGTTATATAGATTCAACATGATTTCCCTTCAAATTCAAATGAAAATTTTAAAGAATTACAACAGTCATGAATAAAGTTTGTATGGAATCAAAAGAAATGTTGAATAGTGGCTGGAGCGATAGCACAGCGGGTAGGGCGTTCACCTTACAAGCGACCAACATGGCCGACCCGAGTTCGATTACTCCGCCCCTCTCGGAGAGCCCAGCAAGCTACTGAGAGTATTCGAGATGCCAGACACAGTAACAACAAAGTCTCCAATGGAGACGTTACTGGGCCCGCTCGAGCAAATCGAGATTCAACATGATTCCCCTTCAAATTCAAATGAAAATTTTAAAGAATTACAACAGTCATGAATAAAATTTGTATGGAATCAAAAGAAACGTTGAATACTGGCTGGAGCGATAGCACAGCGGGTAGGGCATTTCCCTTGCACGCAGCTGACTGGGGTTTGATTCCCAGCATCCCATATGGTCCCCCGAGCACTGCCAGGAGTAATTCCTGAGTGCATGAGCCAGGAGTAACGCCTGTGCAACGCTGGGTGTGACCCAAAAAGATAAAAAAAATAAAGAAAAAATGCTGAGTGGACACTGGAAAATAAGGACCTTGGAGGTATTTCGTTACCTCCTAATTTGAAACTATAGTCTAAAGCCACAGTAATTATATCAGCCTTATACTGGAATAATAAAGATAGGCTTTGTTTTAGCTTGCCGGGCTCTCTGAGAGGGGCAGAGGAATCAAACTCGGGTCGGCCATGTTGGCCACTTGTAAGGCAAATGCCCTACGGCTGTGCTATCGCTCCAGCCTCAACATCACTTATTATTAGGGAATTAAAAATCAAGACCAGGTTGACTATCTCACACTAGTGAAAATGGCACATTATCAGAAATATTGAGAACATTCTGTGTTGGTGGGAACGTGGAGAAAAAGAAACAGTGATCCACTGATGATGAAAACGTTGTCTGGTTAACCTTTATGGAAAATCACTTCGAAATCCCTCTAAAGTAAGAATTGAGCTGTCACACGACACAGTAGTGCTATTTCTGGGTAGTAAAACACAAAAGCAAAAATAGAAATTCATTCACAATGGAAACAATTAGTAATTTCAGCACTTAGTACAATAATTAAGAGGTGGAATAAATTTAGGTGTCCAGAAGAAAGACAGAAGTGAAACACAAAGATATGTCACATGGAATACTGTGCATCTGAAAATAATGACAACACCATGCAATTGGCGGCGACTTGGACGGAATTGGAGGATATCATGTTAAATGAAGTAAGCCAGAAGAAGGACAAACACAGGATGACCTCATTTATCTGTAGTGCTGGACAAGGGAATGCAAGATATCAAAGAATGGATAACTTCTTCACTCTTCACCCCAGGATATAGGAAGAAGAAAGTCCGTTAAGTAACGGAACGGAGATGGTAGCAAGAAGTCGAAGAGAAGTAACAAGGGGTAGAGATCAAGGTCCTTGGGTAGTTGTGGAAAGGAATTATATATCTAAACCACAGATTCAACAGTGAAAACATGAGCCAGCCAATCTTAAATGTGCCTCTCAAGAAGACAGGCTGTGGATGTGTGGGAGAAACCTGGGTTTATTGGTGGCGGGATGTTTAACAATGGTAGTGGAACATTGTATGCCTGAAACTGAAGTTTGAATGACTTTTGAAGCAAGTTCCTTTAATAAAACATAAATGACAGGGGCCATTGAGATAGTCCAGTGGACAAGGCTCTGCCTGGTGTGAGTCCAACCGAGGCTTTATCCCTACAGCCCCCTGAGCACTGCTAGTACTGGTTTAGGAATGCAGAACCCAGGGTAAGCCCTGAGTACCACCAATTGTGGCCCCAAATAAAAAACAAAGAGAAATTGTGATTAAAATAGATGCCCTATTGAATGAGAGAACATATTAATAAGCACACAATTGACAAGGGCCAATGCCCGAAAAAAAAATACAAAGTCAACACAAGTAACACCATAAAAATGCAGGGAAGTGTTGTTCAGACTTTTGAAGTTTCCTCAAAGAAGAGAAGGTATGTTTACCATCTCTGAATATTGGAAAATTGTACATCAAAAGGGCAATGAGATATTACTTCTTTATGCCACTGAGAAAAAGTGCTTTGGGAATGCAGCATAAAAGAATTCTCATTAATAGTGGGATAGTTAACTGGCTCGGCTTCTATTTAAAACAGAAAAAATATTTAAAAAACTGGAATTAAAATATAAACCAGTGATTCCACACTTTGGCATCTATCTCAAGAATGAAAAAATACATATTAATTTGAAATATATACATACCTATTTTAATTTCAGTGATATTTGTAGTAGCCAAGATGTGGAAACAATACAAATACCCGCAAAGAGATGATTGGATAATGATATATATACATACATATACACAAATATAATATATACACACGTATATGATATATATTCATATATACATATATATACATACATGCACACACACAAAATATGATATACTATTCCAACTTGGATGAAACCAGGGGGTGTTACACTAAGTAGAGCAAGTGATAGAGGGTATTGGAAAATGTGAGTTGAGTTCCTCATTTATGGTATGCAAAGAAGCAAAGCAAGGAAACATCCAGTGTCTGATAAAATCAAAGCCCTGTGACTCTGACATTTGTGGGGTTTTGGTTGATTGTTGTGATACAGTAACATTGTACATCAAAACATAAACATCAATGCAGTTGTAAACAATATTATCTTAATAAAAAATAGAAGAAACTAAATCTGAACCAAATTCATTCTAGTTTGCATATATAAAAGTGATTATTAAATTATATATGTGTATAGAATAGCATAGGTATTGAGAAATGTTAGTTTTATGTCATCCATTTGAAGTCACGGGTTTTAAATGCATGTCTTCAATTTGCTACCTAGGAGCTATAACAAACACTCTTAGGAAGTCAATCAAACTTGCTGAGCTCTAGTTCTCCCATCTGTTAAAATTATAGTTAATGTTCAAGTGTATTTCTATATAGCATGTTAATCAACTCCTGCATACAATGGTATATTTCATGAGCAATGTCCCACCCTCAATCCTTTTGTATCCCTGGGGAGCATCTGATTCTGTGGCATGTGCTATTGATGAAACAAGGGAGGGGGTCTGTCTTATCTAAGACAGTTGGATAGTTAAATTAGAGAAACCTATCAGTCTAAGGCTTTTTACTTTGCTCTGATTATATAAGTTCTAAGAATACTATCAGGTTCATTAATAAATGATTAACTGAATAGGAAAAACGGGCTCCTGATCACTGATAATTTAAAAAAATATTTTAGGCTCCTTAATTTACAATAGCCGGGATTTTTTAATCAAAGCTGGGTGACAACTTCTTTGGAGACAAGAGAAAACATTTCTAAGGCTCTATGATATGATTATATCTCTGTCTCTATATCTGATACTGTATGAAGCAATGTTTGATTCTGTATACTTATTGATATTGTAGAAAATCACCACATATATTGTATCTTAAGCCAATCAATTTTCCTAAAGTTAGAAGTCTAAAATAAAGGTCTGGACAATGCTGTCTTCTTCCTACATGCTCCAGAAAAGCTTCGTTCCCTTGTCTTATTCAACTTATAAGGGTCACATGATCCATTGGCTCATGGCCCCTTTCGTATATTGCCACAAACATTTTATTCTGTGGTCATAACTCCTACTATTCTTTTTAATCCTGCAGCCTCCTCCCTTATAAAAATCCTTGTTTTCTATTTAAAAAAAGTCCTTGTTTTATGTACATTGAACCCATCTTGATAGTACAGAATGATCTTTCCTATTTTAATCTCTTAATTCTTAACTTAATCACATCCCCAAAGTCCCATTTACGTTGTCAGAACATAGCCACAGGTTTCAGGAATTAGAATATGTCCATAGTTAGAGGACTGTTTTTAAGCCTATGAAAGGTACTCTGAAATATTATTGGGATTAGCAAAATCAGGTGGTACTGTGGGATTTGTACATTTTGAAGGGTAGGATGATCAGGAAGAGATCACTTATAGACTGGGAAATGTCATGAAGTTTGTACCCCAACTAGTGTACCCCCAATATAAGCATAATTTGCATGAAATCTAAATGCGCTAAGTATGAGATATGTGATCAAATAGAAGGGCAGCAAGATCACAAAGACGAGCAGTAAGATACAAGTTTGGTAGATTGACAAGAATGACTCTAGATTCCAATTTAGTCCCCAGGTGACATTGTGAGAGCAGCATTTTATGTCAACAATCATTTGTATCTAAATTTATTTCAGAACACCTGAAAACAAATTGGCAACGGTTTGAAGGGAAAAGAAAATTCCAGAATAAGAAAATTTTAGCCTCTGTTCAAATGGAGGAGAATGAGACATAGACAAAAACCAGGGGCCTCTCAGAGATTTGAAAAGGATAATGATTTCTATGAACTTAGAGCAATTATTTTAAAGAAAGAGAAATATTACTAATCTTACCTCATTGCCACATTACTTCCATCAATGACAATTGGCCTCAAATTGTCAGTGTTTCCCATTCCATCTTCAAGAGACAGTTCAGGGCTTGAAATTTCTCTTGAACCGGGCCCCCGAGGTACTAACAGACTCAAGTTGACCTGCATTTCTGAATCACCTTTGTTCCCCAGCCTTACAAGCTCTGCCAAAACATCATTAATAAGGGATTCTGGACCCAGCTTGTTGAGCACTAATTGAATTTGCTCCTCTGCATAGCCCAACTTTAGAGCAAAATCCATCTTAGCTTGGTATTCCTTTTCCAAGTCAAGTTTCCCACCCTGTAGAATGCTGCTCTGGGAGAAGCTTGGACGATCTAGACAAGGTGATCTACAAAGTTGGCGGTGTGGTTTGGAGGGAATCGCCTTTTTCTTCAGCTGAAAATCTTCAGGTTGGAAACTGCAGTCATTGTTTTTGCTGCTCTTGAGGCTTGTCTGTTCAGGATCACTTTCAGAGCTAATCCATTCTTCAAGCTCAGCATTGTCCTGCTTTGTGTTCTTCTGCTTAGCCTGACACTTCTCTTCCTTATAGGCACTCTTCTCCATTTTTGGTGTCTCCACTGCAGCTGTGGCCGTCATCCCGTTCAGAGGGAAGTCTCAGGTATAATCAGCTTTTTTTCTCTTTAGCCCGCTTGGAATCTTCGTATAGCAGCATCCCTCTGTGTCACAATGCAGTGGTGATAATGGTGAAAGAGATGGTATGATTTGGCATGTCCAGGTGTTTCCAGTTCCTACAAATAAACATATGCACCACAATCATGTTTAGAAAAATTCTAGAAAATCATTTGGAATACAGACTTTTCTTCCTAAGAAACTAAAGCTTGGCTGACATTTTATTTTTCAGCTCATAGTGATCTAAGCTTAAATTTGAAGTCTCTCCTTGGGGCCCAGGACATGATAGAGGGTTTAAGTTTCTGCTTATGGTCCTCTGAGCATCACCAGAGTAATCCCTGAGCACAGATCTAGGAGTAGGCCCTGAACACTGCTGGGTGTGGTTAATGGCAAGAGTCCCTACAAACGAAAAAAAAGAGAAAAAATTAAAAAGTCCTCCCTCTAAAACTATAAAAAAAACTACTAGAAATAATGACCCCAGTAAAGTGGAAGAATTAAAACTCAATACATCTAAATATATTGCATTTTAACAACACAATGAGTTGGAAGGAAAGGACATCAATTAAATAATCGTATTTATAATATCATCAAAAGTATAAAATGGGGGAGACAGAGAGAAAATACATGTCTTGCATGCCACAGACTTGGGTTTGAAACCCAACACCACATATAAATGGTTCCCCCAAGCCCTGCCAGGACTGATTCCTGAGCACAGAACCAGAATACAGCTCTGGGCAACTCTTGGTGTAGCCCCTGACCTCAAAATCATAAAAAATGGGAGAATAGTTAAAATTAAAATATTGTTAAAAGAAATAGAAGGCACAAAGAAATGGGAAGATATACTGGAAGAAATATTATTAAAATGATCATAATAAGAAGCAACCCAAATGTTCAACAACAGATAAATGGATAAATTATCTATCTATCTATCTATCTATCTATCTATCTATCTATCTATCTATCTATCCATCTACACACACACATATACACACAATACAACACTATGCAGTGGTAAGAAAATATGGAATTTTGAAGTTTTTTTTGGATGGAACTGAAGGATACCATGTTGAATAAAATATCTCAATGAGAGGGATAGATATGATCTCCCTCTCTCGCTCTCCCTCTCTCTATCTCTCACTTTTGTCCTTTGAGCCATACCCATTGGGGCTTGGGGGACCATCTGGGATGCTGGAGATTAAATAGTATAGCAGACGTCCTACCCACTGTACTGTTGCTCAGGACCCAGAATGATCCTCTCAAATGTGGTATATAATGGAAATTAGTAAGGGAATAACAAACAGCCAGATGCAACAGAACCTCCAAACCGGTCTACAGTACTGAGCTTAGCAAAGGCAGGAGGTGTATTTGTGAGGGGTGAATATGATAACGGTGGGGAGAAGTAGATGTTCAGATGGAGGGTGTGTTATAATGTGTGACATGAATCATATTGACAGCTTCTTTATTATACTTGATCACTTGATCACTTGACTTCCCGTTAATCGCAGATTTGCTCAAGTGGGTGCCAGTAACGTCTCCATTTGACCCTGTCGCATGCTAGTGTAGCCCAATCTTTATTATAATTGCTGAATAAAAGCAAAAAAAACTCAACTTGCATAAGGTGCAAGGACATTTGAGAAAGCATATTAATGCAGGGTATTGGAATCACTTCTCAAGGGTGTAGAGATCATGCTTTGCATATGAGAGGCTTTGAGTTCGATCCCTGACATCACATGACCCCTGCCAAACACTACTAGCACTATTGGGTCTAAGCAGCACCTTATCACCAGTCAAAGCAGTGACAGTGAGCTTCCAAGAACTGCTAGAGAGAACCCTAGAAAATTAAATATAAAGCACTAATCACAGGCAGTTGTATTTGCTAACTCTTCCTCTCACCTACCTCATTTGTTTCCACAAGTTTGAGTTCTAACCTTCCCCAAACACTCATTTTCAATTTTAGCCTTGATACGGTCATATGTAAATGTGAGTTATTGATAACTCTCATGGCAAGTATTCATACCATGAGAAAGAAGTAGCTTAGAAAAATGAACAGAGGTTTTCAATATATTTATAGCATGAAACCTTTAGTTTGAGAAAGACTACTAACAGTCAGGCAAGACTACAGCCATGTGAGCACTGACAAATTCTTCAGCCAGCCTCTAATCTAAAACTAACCTACTGGGGCTGGAGTGATAGCATAGCGGGTAGGGCGTTTGCCTTGCACGCAGCCGACCGGAGTTCGATTCCAAGCATCCCATATGGTCTCCTGAGCACCGCCAGGAGTAATTCCTGAGTGGACTGCTAGGAGTGACCCCTGTGCATTGCCAGGTGTGTCTCGCCCCGCCCCAAAATAAAAAAAGCTAACCTACCTATGTAGCAAATGGACTACAAATTTCCAGTTACAATTTAACGATTAACACAAATAACAAAACAATAAATAGCTCTATTTAATACTTTGAGAGTGCAATATTTGAATATTTATAAACATCACATACATACAGAAGCAGCATCTTTTAATTGATGCATATGCAATGACTTCTCTAATCATAATATGCTTGAAACTTTAAAATTTTCTCTTAATGTACTAGCCAACAGAGAAATACCCATTTTACATTCAGTTCTTTATTAATGTTTTACTTGCATTTCTAAGCCTGTTTCTCATATACGTTCCAGACTATCTAACTTATATTTTATTCTCTTCAAAATAACTTCGATTGCGAGCACATTAGGATTCCCCTGCCCCATTGATTACATTTTCTTGCCTCCAAAACATTTTTGAGATACCCCTGCCACATTTATCCAAAACTCCCAAGTCATTTAGAAATAAATATATATAAAACAAAATGTATATGTTTATTTTCTTGGCAAATACAAATATGTAATGTTTAAATTTTTCAAAAAATATTGTATTTATAGAATCACTGTTAGATACGCAGTTACTAAGTTGTTCTTTGTTTGGTTTCAGTCATACAATGTTCCAAAACCCATCTCTTCACCAGTGTACATTTTCCTTCAACAATGGACAAGATTCTCTTCCGTCCCCGCCCCTCGCCTCCTGCCTCTTTGGCAGGAAATTTCCTTTCCCTTCCCTTCCCTTCCCTTCCCTTCCCTTCCCTTCCCTTCCCTTCCCTTCCCTTCCCTTCCCTTCCCTTCCCTTCCCTTCCCTTCCCTTCCCTTCCCTTCCCTTCCCCTTCCCCTTCCCCTACCCCTACCCCTTCCCCTTCCCCTTCCCCGTTTTAGCCTTCCCCTTCCCCTTCCCTTTCCCCTTCCCCTTCCCTTTCACTTCTCTTCTCTTTCCTTCACTTTCCTTCCCTGCATCATGGTTTACGATACGGTTATTATAACGTTAAATAAACTCATCTTCTATAAAAAACTTTATGATGTATATTCCTTTACTTAACTTCAGCACTCAGTTCTTGTGCAGAGTGATCATTTCCTACTATTATTGTCATTAGGTCACTCTTGTTAGGTCACTTCTCTATAATGTCATTGTCATTATTAGGTCACTTCTCTATCTTAACACCCACTTGTGGTCAGCTTCCAACTGTGGACCAGTGCATCAGGCCCCTGTTTCTTCTGTCCTTGGATATCAGTCTCATACTATATCCCACAAACGTGTGTAATAATTCTATGTCTGCCACGCTCCCTCTGACTCAGTATGATGCTCTATCTATTTATAAGCAAATTTCATGACTCCATTTTTTCTTTGTGACTGTGTAGTCATTGTGTATATGTACTCTTGGAATTTCTTGGTTTTGAGCACTTGCCTCTCTCCAGTGAGTGCAGAAGTTCATATCTTTTATCTTTTCTATCAGCAGTTCTTCCCCTATCTATCTTCTCTTTAAGCTATCCCTGTAATTCTGAGATTATTCCTCTTGCTATATTCTAAGTATCTTGTATTTTCCTGCATTTTAACATTCTACTTGCCATTGTCTCTACTTTTTTGTTGATGTTCTATTATTGTTTCCATGCACATTTGATATGATTGTCAGCTTGCTCAGTTCTGCTACTATGATTCACTGCTTCAGTCCTTAGCTCCTTCCATTTTAAGTCAATTCTTTAGTGTTTTGTTTTCCTTTGAGGTGAGTGTATATATTATATAATAATTTTGTCATTTCAGTTACCATGGAGGAGACTATTGTTCGGAGCTCATCTTCAGACAATTTTAAGAATTCTGATTAATTTGAGGATGTAGCTGTGTTTCTGTGCTCATGGGTTAAAAGTGCTGAATTAGTTTGTTTTCTCCCATTTCTAATGCCTTGTGGTTTCTTTAGTGCTAAACTTTAAATTACAGATAATGTGAGCAGTTTCCTGTGTATCAGTCACTAAATTCTACTCCTATTTATATCGCTATTAATTTTTAGCCACTAAGCTGCATTGTGATGAAATTTTGGCCAAAGAAGTAGGATTAGTTTGCGAAATCTACTGGTGGTTTTGTTGGTGTAGTCTGTATGCACAGTGTGACCCCTTGGATTTACAACAGGTGTTCAGGTGTATGGGTAGGTAGAGAAGAATATGTTCTGAGTTCTGACAAGTGCCTTTATAGAGAGCAGAGATTAAGGGTGAAGAATGTCAGGACTCAGGGTTCCACTTGTGGTTCCAAAAAGGTCCCAGATTTTCCCATTCTTCCTTCAATAATGTTGCACATATAACTTTTTAAAGCAATCTACTAACTGGTCTTTCTCATAACTCAATTAAAAATATAACCCTCTAACAATTTTCTTAATTCTTAATGTTACCATATTTTGATTTTATTTTACTCCTTGTAGTAAAAATATTAATTTACAACAAATATGTGCTTTTCTCCTTCTTCATTCAAAAACTCTTTAGCCAAAGGGACCCTCATAATAGCTGTCTGTAAAATACTTTGTGTTGCTCAAATAAGAAGCCACCCAGAAATTTCCTCATGATATTGAGAGCACTTTTGTATTCACAGTATTTCATTATTTCTGGCATAAATATCAATATTGTAGGGTGTAACTTCCAGGCAGTTTATCATTTTATTTCCAATTCATTTCTCTTTCCTTGAATATATTGGCAAAAACCAAGACACCGTC